ACGGCAGCTTTGGTGGGGGTGAAGGGGATGGAACTTCCACTCTGTGACTAGCTGACTGATGGGGAAAAAAAGAAAGTCCCTCATGACCCCCACCCTGTTGCTCCCCAGCCGAGAAGAGCCGGACGAGACTAAAGCCCCCCATTGTTGTCCCCTCACACAGGATCACCAAGTCCCTGGCAGGAAGAGAGGGAACATGGGGTTGGGGGGAGGATGGTGCCTGGTCTGGGAGGGTTGAGTTGTGTGTGTGTGTGGGGGGGGGGGGGGGGGGGGGTCGTCCCGCCAGCTCGAATACAATCGTGTGATAGGACTTGGCCCTATCTAATCAAGGGCAGGAGGTCACTTCCGAACAACTGGGCAATAAAAGATTATTTCCAGCCACATAACAGAGGAGCCGTTGAAGGGAGGCAGGAGGGAGAGAGAGAGAGAGAGAGAGAGAGGGAGAGGGGGCGGGACGGAATGAGAGGGAATGGAGCAAAAGAAGAAGGAGGGGGGCGGGGGGTGTCTGTGAGGAGAGGAAGTGAATTGAAAAAACCCAGCAGACGGGAACCATCTGTCTGGATGCACAGTCTAATCTCAGAAAAAGAGGGAATTGGGGGGGGGGGGGGGGGGGGGGAATGAAAAGGTTTAAGCTTCCTCACAAATATCTCTCTCTCTATATATATATATATATATATATGAAGAGAGAGAGAGAGAGAGAGAGAGAGAGAGAGAGAGAGAGAGAGAGAGAGAGAGAGAGAGAGAGATGGGACGATGGCGTCAAAAGAGTTAAGTGCTCGCCCCATAATCGGAAGGTTGCAGGTTCAAGCCCCACTCAGTCTGTCGTTGTGTCCTTGTGTCGTTGCAAGACACTTTACCCGCCAAACCTGCTGGTGGTGGTCGGAGGGACCAGTGGTGCCTGTGTACGCCAGACTCACCCCTGTCAGTGCGCCCCAGGGCAGCTGTAGCTACAATGTAGCTCATCACCACCAGTGTGTGAATGGGTGAATGACTGCGTGTTGTAAAGTACCTTGGGGTTCCAGGAATCTAGAAGGTGCTATATCAAATACAGGTCATTCACATCTCTTCATCCGTCATCTATCTACAGTTTATTGCCAGGTGTGCCTAATGTGCATGTGTGAAGGCTGCTTGTCGTTGTTGGTTGTGAAATCAAAGGAGAAATTAGAAGAGAAGTGGTTGCATGGGGCCTGGAATGCAGCAAACACACAAAACTGCCCCCTGGGGCTGGTAGAAGAGGAACAGGGACGTGGTTTTGTTTGACAGAGACGGTCTGTGTGTGTGTGTGTGTGTGTGGGGGGGGGGGGGGGGGGGGGGGGGGGGGGGGGTTCCTGCATGTATGTATCAGAATTAACCCTCAGCACGGATACAAAAGACTTTACTCGTTTTCCCAAATTGATCTGTAGATCAGGTAGGTTCTGCACTATATTCCAAACATTTTGACCATTCTGAGCATATTTAGGGATCCGATCCAGCAGCTAGACACCGTTTGAACTAGTGACAACTGGCAAAAGCAAATGTGGCACGTTAGCAGACAGTCTGAATACAGATGAGTCAATCATGCTGATGAAACAGGAGCCGCTGATCAAAAACAAATATGGAGCAGCCATTAATTACAAAAGGATCTCGCTGAGTGATTGCTGAGGGTGGTGTGCTATATTGATCCGTGGGCCTCACCCCCTCTTGTGATGATCATCATTCCCTCCAGCTGGCCTTTGTTTGGTAAATGGCAGACAAAGGCAAGAGACAGGAAGAGGGCTCGGAGGGGAATGTGGTATCAGATGGCCAGTAGCTGCATACACACGGAGTGTGTGTGTGTGTGTGTGTGTGTGTGTGTGTGTGTGTGTGTGTGTGTGTGTGTGTGTGTGTGTGTGTGTGTGTGTGTGTGTGTAAGTTCCTGTGGGTGTGCCCAGAAGCAAAAGCTGAAAGCCCATTGAAACACCTCCATCATGAATGGCCCTCGACACCTGATAAAACTCCACTAACGACTCTTTATGGCTCCCACTGAGGAAAAGGGCCGTCTGTCCTCGGCCACGCTGCCCATCTGAGAAACAAAGAAATCAAACAGCAGCATCTGAAGCTATTTTCTGTTAGTTCCTTTTAACAGATTTTAGACAACCACGCTGTTATTCCGACATTGTTTCAAATCTGTTTGTTCCAAATTATAAAAACAACAACTAATTATTGGATACCGCTTCATTAGAATAAAATTTGTTGTATAATGTGGGAAGGATGAAAAAGATAACGTTAATCTTTGACGTTTTGGGATGAATCCACACACAGATAAGTTTTAGATTGCACAAATTAGGGTTAGACTTCCTGAACTCATACTTCTGTTAACTTTAAGTCTGTTTGTTCATATTAATCTTCTGACACTGAGACTTGGGCAACAAAAGTACAAAGATTGTCTTGTCAAAAAAAAGTATCCCAGTTTGAATCTTCTCTGATTGTAAAGTGTCTTTGAGTAGTGGTTAAAAGCGCTATATAAAACCTATGCATTATTATTATTATTATATTATTATTTGTTTTCAACAACTTTGGAAGGTTTTATGTTCAGTCGCTGGTTGGAAAAAAAATCCTACAATCGAATGAAAATTAAAAACAATTAAGATGTTGAGATAAAGTCAGCACTGTGTGCATACTTTTTTAAACTGGTAATATTTAAATGTGCCTGTTTTTTTTCTCTTTACAAATAAAAAAGGCTCTGTGAAAATAGTTGACCTCCAGAAGTGAGTTTTCTAGAATTAGTAGAAAAACTGAAACACTTTTGGCATGTCCTAAAAAGTCCTGCAGTTGCTGAACAAGAATTCTGGATTAGTCATTTTTTAAAATAAAACACCCCTCACGGGTTGCTCTACCACCAAAACCATCCAAATTAGAATATCTAAGAAAATATTGTTCACAAACGTTAACCATCCCTCTGAAGTCTACAGAAAGCCCCCTTCCTTTCCAAACTCCACCGCCTTCACGTTCTCCCCTGATTGCTAATTTCTATTTATATGCCATGAGGGGAAATAATGAAAACCAGATGAGCAGGCGGAGCGAAGCTGAAGCAGGCCTGTATGGTGATGAACGCTGTGGAAGACCATGACTGTTTATATCCTGCTGTACCTCTGCCATGCCAGTAGCAGTGGTCTGGTTAAGAACAGGACTGCCCCGGTAGGATGTGTGGGTTGGAGGTTCCACCATGACTCAGCTGGTAGTCATGCATGTTTGTTCTTGTATGGCTCCAAAAAGCCAATGCTGCAGAAAAGGGACCTGCCAAGCCTAACAGCTCTAAACAGCATTACGTGGGTGTGTGGGGTTGCTAAATTTACTTCTGAAACAAGTGCAAAGAGGAGGAGGGGAGGGGTCGTGGCTGTTTGTACTGAATTACCTAACACTGACTCAGATTTCTACAGCTTTTTACGTAGCGATTCGCTGATGATTACAAATGTGATGCAGTTATGGGAGCCTTCATGTGGCTAGATGAGAGAAAAGTGAGAGAAACTCTTCATAAGTCTTAAAAACGTTATCTTAGACGCTTGGTCTGATTTGATCAAACACCTTAGAGGGACATCAAAGACTACTGAGGTGAGTTCTAGAAATAGACGGAGTAGAATGTGTTTCCCTTTCTTGCTAAAGGATGGAAAATATCAAGTAAACACTGTCTTCCTGTTCACCGCCTCCTGAGTACAGTTTAGGTCTCCTCCATCCTCCTCGTCTGCACAGACGCCACAGTGAAACCTGAAAAAAGGCCTTCTATTGTTTGCTCTCATTAAAAAGCCAGGAGCAAATGGGGCTCAGATTACAGATTTAAAAGACGACAGGAAATAGACAAATCACTAATCCACTTCCGTTCCGCTTATAAAATGAGCTTTGTGTCTGTGGATTATTTAAACAAAACCATTTGTGTGTGAAACTGCAAAAGCCTTTACTGCGGGGCTGTGGCTTGTGTCAGCTAAAACAACATTCTTGTTTGTCTTTTACCAGAGCTCTAAATCCAAAGATCCCAGGCCTGTTGCACGCAGCACCTGAGGGCACCGCCGTCTCATCTCGCTGATCATCAACACATTTTGAGGCTGCGGCCAGCTGCGGTACATTTTCCCCTCCTTTGTTCCTGAGTATTTCCTGGGTGTAGCTGATACTTCCCAAACCAACTCCTGGCATTTTTAGCTGACCAACCAAGTTTCAAAGTGATGATCTCATCCCTTGGGAGGGGGCCTGGAGGTGGAGAAGTGTGTGTCAGTTGGTGACTGTGGGGGTAGGAAGGTCAGAGGACTTCCAAAGTGATAAATTCACCGACAAAAAGAAATGACCAAATGGGGGAGATGTGGGTTTGAGTGGGGGCTGGATTGTCCCCAGTCATTGCCTTTAGTGCAGGAACCATGCCGTAAAAGCAAAGCATTGATAGCCTTGGTTTATTATCTTTGAACAGGTGGCTCAAGCTACTCGTAATGGTCACACTCTCAGCCCGGCAATATGAAGGCCATTTGGGAGTTTGGGAATATCCCAATATAGCTCAGGGAACAGGCTACGGTGCATAGTTTCATGGTGACATGTTGGATTTGAAGGAGAGCTGCTTTCTAAAAGCACGACTCAAGAAAATGCAGGAGCTCGGCTGATGCTAGCGGCTCTGGGGCTCATCATGTCAATGACCTGTACTGTTTAAGTTTCAGGCTTACTGAGGAGAATCGCAGCAAAGAAACCCTCCAAGAATGTAAACATTCGCCTTTCTGAGCTTCAAGCCGTTTCTCTCCAAGTTGCATTTTTTTTCTCTTTCTTTGCCAGAAATTCCACACCCAGCATGAACACACACACACACACACACACACACACACACACACACACACACACACACACACACACACGGAACAGTGATTTGCTGTTTGCCACTGAGCTCAAACTCAAGAAACTAGACCTTAATTAGCTTAAAAAGCAGCCACCACTCGCATCTTTCATTCCTGAAGGAAGTGCAAAAATGAAACTTCTCCCCCGGAGCAATGAAGACACCAGACAGTGCTAGGTTTTCATTAATTAATATATTTTCTGCATTAAAGTTAACATAGTTTTCTTTGTGCCACCCTTTAATTTTTCAGTAAGTATTTGATATTTTGTTATATTCAGACATGAGTAAATTTAAGACTGTCTCTTGCAATAAATATCATAAAATAATAGAGCTTCACATAATAAATATTTTTTACAACAAAAAAAAAGTTTAGCAGACATTTTTTTCTTTTAAAAAATAGCCAAAATATCTCTTATGGAGCATACAATTTACACATTAAAAAAAACAATGGGAGAATGCCACAGAATGTATTTGAATAGTTCAGATGGGTAAAAAGGAGAAACATATCCAAGTGGAGAATACTACGAGATGGATGTGCTTTTTTTTAATGCATCACAAGTGTATAGGACCACGGGTTTAGTGTGGCTGGTGAGTGAAACAAACCTGCTTGCTATGAATACCAGGTAACAGCTACATAATCGCCTTAAAGATCGTCCTTCACAGATCTGGTGTGAGGCAGCCCCCAGTGGGCGCAGGCCCAGAAAAATGAAACTGCCTACCTAAAACGGAAGAAAATCGTTTTCATATATGCATATAAAAATAATGTTAATGAGGAGCCGAGGGCAGACAGAGAAACAAATAAGGCAAACACTGGTCTGTAAAAACACGGTCCTGATCCAGAGAGAGTAAAAATAATTGAGTGGTTTTCCTTTGCTTAGCTCCGTTCTGTTCTGCAGCCAGGACAGGAGTCGGGTAGGAGGTGCTTAGAACGTTTGAAAAACATTAATTTGTGACCATCATCATTTCCATACTCATCAAATGACCCACACTTAGAGTCTCCTGTGCACACGCAGTCACAAAACACAGGAAGGGATCAGGAAGGCTTCTCCTGGCTCTGTGGGGCCCAGCTCTCCAGTTTACAATAGACAGTGTTGGAGTTCTTGCAGCGACAGCCGGGTCGGTTAACCCGGTCATAGCAACCCTGGCACGCCTTCAGACAGCCCTTAACAGGTGGGTAGCATAGCAGACAAGGGAAGAGTACCGACATTAACCCCATGCACAGGAAACGAGAGCAGCAGTGGGAGCGCGACAGGGAGCAGGGGTGGTCAGCGCACGAATCGCCCTCATCGTCATTGGAGCAGTGGTAGAAGATGCCCTTAACAAGGCACATGCACGTGCCATGCTCAAGAGCACTTTCAGCAGAGCAGAGGCACTGACCATTACATGCCAAACATGATGGCAGGCTCCTGGGAGCCCTACAGTCACTGCACTTACACTTCCCGCAGCACTCACAGATGAACTGGTGTCCAGCAGCAGCCACCACTGAGTCACCCGAGCCAGAAAAGTCTGACTTTCCTTTGCCCTGGGGCTTTAGTGGAGCCTCTAGTGGAGGCTGGTGGAAGTGAAGTCCCTGTTGGGGCTGTGAAAGGTTCTTGGGTTTAGGTTGAGTCCGAACAGGCCGGTCTGCCCTGTGGTGGTGCTGTAGATTCACGCCGGGCCTGGCGGGTGGCGAGTGTGTTAGGAGTCCCTGCTCGGAGGAGGCACTGCTGTTGCTCCCCGAGCTGGCGGCACTTCCGGTGCTGGTTGAGCGGCTGAGCCCAGGTGCTCGAGGCCCACCTTGCTGTTGTGCCCCAGACACAACCACCATGCCACCCCCAAGGTGATGATGACCTGGTGGCCGACGCTCATAATTGTTGTTCACATTGACGAGGATGACCTCATGAGTCCTCTCCTGCTTGTCCTGAGGCCTGGGGGCCATGCGGGGCACAGGGGGCCTCCGAGCCACCGATGGCCCCTCCGTGTACTCGTTACTGGAGCGGATGGCCTTGATTTGTTCCAGGGACAGAATGGCTGCATGCTCAATCTCCAACCTCTGCCCTCTCTCAAGGGAAGGCTGCTGGATCACCACTAATGAACCGCCAGGGCCATGTTGACTTTGGAGCTCCATCTGGGGGGATCACCACTTCCGACATTCACCGTGGACATGCATTGGAAAACCTGTCAAGAGATGGGGAATGGAGGCAGAGGGGGAGAAGGGGAAGACGGAAGAGACATGTCAATTTTGATTCAGTTTGGAAGCAGCCAGGGAGAAAAAGTTGACCATTAACAAGACCTTTTGTACCTTTCCTTCCCAGTACGCACACATCTAAACTTCAGTAGGCCCTACAAATACTTCCCCTCCTCATTTACATTTGTATGACTAGTTAACATTTAAATGCTGCGCGGCAACGAAATGAGGACACGATCCAAGGGAGCTAAATGAGTTGCCTCACTTAGTATTCTGTCACAAGCTCGAAAAGAAGTGCAGGAAAAAACGAGGACCGGAGCACAGCTCAGAAAAATATTAGGGTCAGATCAAGATCTGACAAAAGACAGGCTGAGTTTTAAAACAACAGAATGTCGCACTGGCGTGCAATAATAAAGAAAATGCGCATTTTTTGGGAAGTCGCTGTGTCGCAACGTTCGCTGTTTACACTTAAATACGGTCAGGAACTCCAGTTTAAGCCTTCGGGGATGTTCTGAAGCAAAGTCAACCTGCAGGAGGCCAAAAGCTACACGACCGGGAAAAAAGCCCGAGGTTTGCTGCCCATTTTCTGCGTCAGATTGGCGCACCACACGTGAGACTATCCGCACAGATCACATTTAGCAGAAGTAATGCGGGAATACAAGCCAGAGCCTATAAAACCGGAGACCAGGATTCGTTGGAGGAGGCTTCCAAACAGACAGGGGAACTTATGAATGAAAACAACCGCCGTGGGGGAGGGGTGTTTATTACAGCGCAGCCACGGAGCTACACGGGCATGGAAATCCGTCAACTAATCACCACGAATCCAACCCGCTGGCGGGCGTTTTGTTCCAAATACCCCAAAAAACATCGAAAAATGACGCGGAAAGCCGTAAAACTCAGTGCGCAACGCAACTGTGTCACCAATACGATGGGTTCCAGCTCGCTCCGTGCGCTTTTATCAGAAAACGACAGCGGGAAAAGAAAGATAAAATAGATGCTTACCTATATGCAAGCACCCATATCGCGGAATCCATCAACCAACCAGGTTACCAAAAGTCCATCCGAAATAGGAAGGTGCAATGTCCAAATGCAGGCTAGGAGGTGTAATGCATAACATTTAGTCTGTTATTCCAAACCCGAGCGTATTCCTTTTGAGGTATTCCCTTATTCTAGGTGTTTGAAAAATAGTTCATTGCCGATCAAGCGTGCATGTGTCCCAGGATGAAACGGTGTAAATCCACGGAGGAAAGAGGAGTCACCAGAGGAGCTGCTGCGTACTCCGGAGGCCGACCCCAGAACGAGTCGCGCCGCTTCAACAAGTCCTGGAGAAACTGTCAGGAAATTTTAAACCACCGGGAAAGTGTGCGTTTATATCCATACGTTTGCACCTCCTTATTGGGAAAACCGCGTTCGCCTTCTGGTCTTGTTGCGGGGAATCTGCGCTCTTCATGTGCGGCGAAGAAGTTAAAAAGTGCGTCCTTTAGGTTAGTCGGCGGTGCGCTCCCTCCAGCTCTGCGGGCCTGCTCAGCACTGAATGAATGGGAACGCAGCACTCACTGTTTGCTCGACTAACCAACTCCCATTGGCCATTCACTCGCCTGAAAAAGGATACATCGCATCCGCTCCTGATTCATTGGGCAGATGTGGAAGCATGGCCGATAGAGATATGCGCACTTGTTAAGGTGGAACGGCTTTCCACTTTGCGACGGTGCGAGGAGGGGGGCTTGTTTCCGCTCTTGTGAGTTATGGTGATCTGAAGAGGGTTATTGGGACTAATATTAATATAATAAACTCATGCATCTATGGATGGTCTGCTGCTATCAGTGCAGAAACCTAACCTGTTTTGAGTTCTTTTTTCAGACTAATTTAAATAAAAAAACATGGAAGTAGTTAAATTTCCATATAAACAACTAGTAAAAATATGACTTTCCAGTAAAACAAGTTTTGAACGAGTTTTTTTTTGGCGTGCGTTTTTTCTGAGAATAGTTTTAAATACTCAGAATTAAAGCTCAAATAAGTCAAATTAGACTTGACAAATCATCACAGCTGTATTGTATTCGATAATAACCGCTGGATTAAAAACAACACAATTTGGATTATGTTTGTGCAGGGTCAAATTTGAGGAGAGCTGTTCTGAGGTGTCAGCTTGGTGCAGCAGGCCAAGAGTCGATTCTCAAGAAAAGTTTTGAACTGAAAAATACAAATTTAAGTTACTCCAAACTGATTTTTTAAGAATGAATGATAATCTGGAAAAGTTTATCAGCTTTACCAATCAAAATTTGATCAAACCTGTGGATTAAAAATGCATTTAAAATGCCAATAATAATAAAAACACTGATAATAGGAAACCGGTTTAAAAACAATATGTAAAAACAAAAAGTATATACAAAAAGATTAATTACATTCATATCCATTTAAGTCATTTTAGGATCCATGACACAACCATTGCCACCACAAAGTTTCATGATAGATTTATTAAATCCGAAGCAAACGCGAGGTCCTGTTTTTGAACCCTGTTTTGGACAGCTCAGTCTGAAGACGTGTGTGGGGAGGAAACATCAACAGGATGTCTTCTGTCCTCTGTGGAATGTTCCCATTACGCCTGTGTGTGTAGCATCTGAGAAAATAAAATATGTGGTGGTAGCCAGATTGCGCGGATGTGAGTCTGACATGGAAGTTACGCATCACTGTATGCTCTGTCATGTGCGTCACTTTTGCAGAGGTTAGTTTCGGACCACCTTAACAAAAAAAGCAGCCCTGCAGCCAGGGGGAAAAAACTCTCCCCCTCCTCTCCCGCCCACACTCCTGCTTCAAACCTCCTCCTCCTCCTCTGTTCCTGACTGTCTGGTTTGATTGGTGTCGCGGATGCGCCACATCCGGATCCATGAGAAAGGAAGCTCAATACAAAGTCAATTTATCCCATTCAAATGGAAAAATCAATAGTGAATGACCCCCGGGACCATTTCGGGTCAGTAAATGCGCAAAAAAAAAAAAAAAAAAAAAAAAAAAAAAAAAAAAGAGAACCAAATAGACTTTGAGGCGAGTGCAAACGTGAAGCAGAAAGGAGTGAACCAAGAATCCCGCCTCTTGGCGATGAAACAAATCCTGTGACAGATGGCCGCCAGGATCCCCGCTCGTGGTCGGAAGTGCGGACGGAAATCTCACGATTACAGCAATTAGCCAATTTTTCATGTAAGGAGGTGGTGGATCCACCAGCTGAGACTGTTGATGATTTCTCCATGAACTTTGAGCAGCAGGCAGCAGCTCTTCAATGAGTAAAACCATCAAGAGTTCTCACAAAGTATAGTGTAAATCCATAATTAGTTATAAAGGACACCATGAACGTGTGCTGTTTATTTCATAAGAGATCATCACTTAGTTTTGATCTATAACAGTTATTCAGCGTTTTCTTCACCAGCAGATCTTTCTCATTCAGAAGACTGGATGTCAATATGAAGTAAATTATGAGATTATTTTGAAGGAAGAAATTTAAACAAATAATCTCTGTTGTAAACTTTAAATCGAACGTTGTTACTTCCTAGGGTTTCCCTATTATGTCCTCTGTGAAAATAATCAAAAACAACTTGATACATATGGGTTAGAATAATCTTGTCAATCAGGTGAAGCTTGAACGTTAGAATTCTGGTGCAAAAGTCCATTTATTTAAGTAATTCAACTTACTGGACCTTTCCACAGCACGCATAAACATCACATTATGTTGATGGAACGGCGTATGCAGCAGTTAGTTGCCGTTATAGTGGATAGATTCGTTTCCACCAGCGGTGAAGCGTAACGTCTTGGAAGCATTCCAGGAGCGGTTGCGTTTCCAGTTTATTATTTTACCCACCACGCTTCCAAAACACACCAAACTCCACAGTTAAGATCAGACCGACAGAAAGTCAAATGCAAAAGCAGTGTAAATTTCAAAATAAAAGTCACATTCAGATTTCCAAAAAATATGTCATTACCTTTAAAGGTGTGGTTGACTGAAAAAAGTAATGATTATTTCTGATTATAATCAGTCACATTGAGTTTTTCATGCAGGCTGAACATAATAGTCTTCAATGCCTGTGTGTCCTGCATTAGCTTCTGGTGAAATGCTAGGGTTTGAAAATCCTCACATATCTATGTCACATTGTGAATTTGCATACCTCACCCATATTGGCTTGTGCCCGCCCACAAGCAGTCTGTTTAAAATGAGTTTTGCACTGAGGAGAAAGAGTGGAGAGAATCTTGGTGATAGTGACTTTTCAACGTGGCTGAACACATTCTGTTAGCCAATCAGAAGTGAGGTGTGTGCATATCATTAATAATAATGAGCAATCCTGCTGTTTTCAGCCCACCTCTGCACCAGCAAACTTCTGTATCTCAGAACAGGAGCATCATAGCTTTTTTAATGACTCATAAAGCATTAATTTACACTAGACAACACTGCAAATGTATTGAATAAATGAGTAAACCACACATTTAAAACCTCTGTAGCTGATGTATACAGAACAGAAAATAATCAACAGACCTTGTTGGATACATGCTGCCATTTCTCTCCTTGCTTGTTATGAACTCCTGAAATCACATGCGATGTTTCAATTCTCCCGCATTTTTGTTTCCTCGTGGGACCAGAACATGTTTGCTGCCATTTTGTGTCTGAAACGCTCCCAGTTTGAAGGAAGCTCACAGGTAAAATGCCACTAACAATAATAATAATCTAATTCTTCGAGTTTCTCCTGTACATGAGCTTAAAAGTTATAGTTACATTTTCCACACTGCTGTATGTATGATGAGTAGCCAGGTCCTGATGTAGCAAAGCAACCTCAGACATGCCACCATGTTTTTGGCACATGAGGCTTTGTTGTTCCAGGCTCGGTTGAATAATTTAGATCTGGGGCATGGCTTAGGTCATGCCTCCATTGTTTATCTGTCCAGTACAGAAAGTATCCCGGAGTGTGTGTTCGTTATACAATCGGACTAGATGCAGCAACACCCTTGACTTTTACATCTTGTTCATTTAGGATAAGATTTGTGACTCACATGGATCTTGACACGTTTCCACGTTCTGATCCAATTGAAATGTACCATGCCACCACATGGGGAAAGCCAAGCTAAGGATGAATACTAATGTCTTGGAGGATTCAAGGCCCTTTTGACTGATGATGACCATGAGGAGTTACCAGTGGGTCACATTGTCTTGCTTGTATCATTAGGTGTGTTTCCATTACCAGAACTTCAGGGTGTTTTCTCCGTTTTGGGTGTCTGCGTGTGGACAGACAAAACCGGAGTTTTAAGGTCCACAACGTCACTTTCCGCGACAAAAAATGCTGACATCACGTGTGCGATCTGTGTTTACACTAGCCGACAGCATGGATGCCCTCAGAGCTGCGCTCGCTTTATCAATTGTTCAAGCGTTTTGCTTGTTTGTTTTTGCAAGCGGAATTACTGCTCCTTTGCGGAAGACCACAGACGAATGAGCTGGGCGCCATGTTTCATGTTTTGTTGAACGTAAGCAGGAAGACGAAAAGTTACGCTGACTGGATACAATTCGGGGGAAGTACTGCAGCCTACAGGTCTGGCATGTCCTTAACAACGTATTTATCCGGATACGTGTGGACAGTTTTTTTTAAACAAGGTGGTGTGGATGCAAGTTTTTGGAGGGGCGGATATTCGTTAAAAAAAAACCCGGCTACGTGTGGACTAGACCTCAGGCTCCTTCCCCACCAGAGAGGTGACATTCCATGTGCCAAGAGCCAGCTTCTGTAGCCGAGGATCAGACCGCCAAGGTTTTTTGGATGAAAGCAAATTTTGCATGTCATTTGGAAATCAAGGTCTCAGTCTGGAGGAAGACTGGGCAGAAGGAAATGCCAAAATGCCTGATGTCCAGTGTCAGGTACCCACAGTCAGTGATGGTCTGGGGTGCCATGTCAGCTGCTGGTGTTGGTCCACTGTGTTTTATCAAGGGCAGGGTCAATGCAGCTAGCT